GACCCGGTTCCGGATAAAGCGGGAGACGACGAGTCCGAGTAAAATGATAAATACTCACTATGAGTTGGAAAACTGTGTTTGGTGACTGACTTTAATTTCTGTCAGGCTGAAGGGACAGATGTTGGTAAAAAAGACAGATTTTTTTACCAACATGTCCTCAAAATACAATTCCTTAAAAAAAAAAAATCTGACAGAAATATGAATAGAAAAGCAGGAAGGCAATCTCTCTGCATAAAACTAAAACTGATCCAGGGTCAGATGAGGCTCATAGAGCAGTAAATAGATCCACCTGCTATTCACCTATTTACATTTTTATTTATCTCTAGATATTATTTACACTTCTATACTTTCAATCAGCTAAAAAGGCTCATATTGCTTCCTATTTAGAAGTTTTTCATAACATTTATAATCTCCAGTATATTATTATTATCAGGTTATCAGGGACTCCAATGTTTCATGCAGATTCTACTGGAACCAGGATCCCAGCTTAGAAACAAAGCTAATGGCTAACAGGCTACTAGCTTTAGCAACTGAAACTGATTAGCCATAACATCCTAGCACCGAGCCGGCAAACAACGAAAAACGACTAAAGGCATTTTATACGAAGCATGTTAGCGAATTTCAAGTTCAAATTTGTCACTAAGATGCGAAACATCGCAATTATTCGTCTTCAAAGGCGATGCTAATGCTAATGCTAATGCTAGCAGCAGCCGCACCGAGCGCAGAATGAATTGGCAGGTTTCCGCTTCAGCAGCTTAAACGAGCCAAAATAATTACGAAAAAATAACATTGAATTTCTCTAACGAAGAAACTAAAAACTATAAAAATCATCTAAATACGGCGTTTGAAACTAAACTAAAAAAACTAAAAGATAAGAAATATTCTTACCGGGCTCTTCTCAACAGCAACGGAGTCCTCCATGATAAATTTCTCTAGTGTGACGCATTAACAGAAGGGTTTATGGGTAATGGAGTTCTTTATTTTCTTCTTCTGTATTGTTTTTCTTGAGGTCAGCAGAAATCTATAAAAGTTTGCATTACCGCCACCGCCTGGTATGGAGTGTAATTCATGCTTTATACTTAAATTGTATTAAACAGTTTAATTTTCTTAGAAATAAAGTGAAATAATAATTATATATTCCTGTTCATTGAGCTTCTTTTAAATGCATCTTCTATATTAAAGCTCTCTTTATTTCTTTGATCTCCTCATGAACATCTTCTATTGATTCCTTCTCCAGAATATTCGCTCCTCTCTGTAGCCTGCTTTTTATTTGAAACAGTGAAGAATTAAGTCCTGGACGTCTAAATCTTAATCTAGT